TAAATATTTCACATTTTCAATAAAAACACAGATCAGTAGAAAAGCAGCAGCTCTTCTTACTTTAAGTCAGAAGTTCTCACTTGGGGTTGACTTGGCTCTAGTCATTTGACATCTAGACACATTTTTGTCTGTCACAGCTTGAGAAAAGACTATGCTACTGGGATCTTGGAGGTAGCAGTGATGAACTACACAGCACAATGCACAGAACAGATCCCCCTGACACAGAACTATCCAGGTCCCAGGGGCAAAGAAACTAAGGTGAACACACCCGACTGCAATGTAATTGCTTTATAGCAGTCCCATGCATGAGTTCTCCCTCACTCGTAATAACTCAGAGTGACTCTGCAGCAACCATAAACACACTTCGCCTGGCATAATCATACAAATTGGAACGTAGACACTAAGTAAACTCAAATAAGTCTTATGGCTACATAGGTGCTTAACAATGTTTGATAATGGAAGTGAAACAAACGATTAATAAACTAATTATCTTATAATTTACCAAAATGTCATAGTAATAGTTCTTTTCATTGACAGATGGTCTTTCTATTTGCTTTTTCCAACCTTGTTCATCTTCTAGTAAAATGATGAAATGAACAGAAGATACCCAGAAGGCAAGGGAACAGAGGAAGCAAAAAGTGAGAGGTTTGGCTAACCATAAATTGCACTCTCCTTTCCCAGCTGTTTGAAGGCTCACTGTAGTTTATGTTTGCCGTGGTCTGCAGGTCCTTCTAGATTCACAATCCTCACTGTGGTGACCTTAAGAGGTGCTGTCTTTGGGAATATGATTAGCACTTTGTCGTCACTCGGGTGATGCCTTATAAACGGGCTGCAGGAAAGAAAGCCTCTCCTTGCACCCTGGCTTTGCTGATAAAGGCCAAGGGTGTCGGTCCATTGCCCGTTTTGTTCTTTCAACAAGAAGACCCTTGTCAGGTCCCAAACGCCAGCGCCTGAATCTTAGGCTTTCAGCTCCCAGAACTATGAGAAATTCATTTCTGTTCTTTATAAACTACAAAATCTCAGGTATTTTTGTTACAGTAGTACAAATACACAAAGACTCTGTTTACTTAAAACTTAATACGAAGCCCATCAGGTTAAAATCTAATTTTAAAATGTAAAGAAAAACATAGCTGTTTCCCACACCAATAAATAAGATATACTTAGAGTATAATACATTTCCTTTTCAGTTCACCTATACAAACTTTGGCATTCAACTAGAAGCTACCCCTTCATCTGTGGGTTTTCACTCTTTAAGCCTTAACTCTGGATACCGTTGATGGGATAGAAAAATGAACAGTTTGGAGAACCAAAAGTACAGATGTTTCATAGTGTTTTTCTGTTTAGCTATTCATTTTGAAATTCTCAAATATCTGAGACCTGATAAGAGATTAGGAATGTTAGCTCGCAGCCTTTTCTTGCGCTGGGCTCTTTCTTTGTATTAGGTTACAATGAAACCTACAGACCCTAACGAGACTGAAGGTGAGAGAGAACAAGAGAGTCGCTGGACTCAGAATTTGGCGAGCAAAACCTCAGTTCTGCTCTTGATTTCTCCCAGCTCCTGAGGACACTTGTGCCAAGGGAAGGGGCTAAAATAGTACATGTCATTTGCGCCACGTTTGTCTGTTCACTTGCCGGACAGTTTCTGAAAGACAGGCTACAACTGCTTTACGCTTATTAGACACTTTTCCATGTCATAAAACACAATGCTTACTGTGGGACCACACATAAATGTTTAAATTAAGACCTTCTGGAAAGGATATTTTTTAATAAATGACTGAAATAGTTTTCTACAATTATCTATAGAATTCATTCCACAAGAATTTTTTAATATTTCAGTAACAGATGTCTAATATATTCTATTCTCTAAGGTAATTGCATGGTGATTAACTTGTTTCTGATCAATACAATATTTGAAGAGGGACATATATCTCAGAAGGTAATAATAATACTTTCCCACCAATACATTTTTCCTGCTATAATGAAGCATAATTTATATGTGGTATGTATAATTCTACACATATAAACATCATGCATATTTTACATTATATAATTTATATATAGCAAATCACACAAATATTTAGTGCACCATTAATTAAGTTTTATATGTCTGTAAAGCATCTGATTATTTATGTAAGCAGCACCCAGCAACTAGTTGAATATATAGGACAATCATCTAAAAAGTTCCCTGGTAAATACCCATACCACCACTACTTAAGTTGCTACCATTATCAACTGATTTTGGCTATTTTTGAACTCTGTATCAACAAAAATACAGTGTGTGTGTTTATATGTCTGGCTTGCTTTACTAACATAATATTTGGATATTCTTTCATATTTGTATATATCAGTAATTCGTTTATTTGGCAATATCTCAGTTGAATTTTGTTAAATTTATCTCCTCTCTTACAGAGTAGAGCCGTTATGAACAGAACCGATAGGGAGATTTTATAAATCTTCTGTTGGACATATCGCCTCAATCATTCTGTGTAGACTAGGAGAGCTGCTGAGTCATGGGATATGCATACATAGAAACATATATATATATATGTGTGTGTGTGTGTGTGTGTGTTTAATAGGTACAACCAAAGTTTTTTAGTGATCAATGATTTCACATTTCTGTGAGCAATGTGTGAAATAAAGCTTGCTCCATTAGATAAAGAGAATATTTAGTTTGGATTGGATTATATCTACACAGACCTATGTACACACACATCGACAAAAACACACTTGTCTCTAGATTTTCACCTGTTTTTTTTTTCTTAGCATTCTTGGTCAGGGTCTACCTTTTGCTTCTGAGTTATGAAAAATATGAAGATACAGAAATTTAAAATAAAAATTGCAAAAGTGATAGCAATACATTTTGAAATCTTTTCCACAGTCTAGTCCTGTTTCCATGGAAGAAACACTAATAATTGCTCCACTAAAACATCATGTTAATTGTGCAAATTCAGTAAACGATAAACATTGCTTTTAAATGATAACCTTTAAATTAATACACTAAAGGAAGAAGTCCTACTGTAAAGAAATTTACTTACTTTCGTTCAATCTACTGCTTCATAAACCTCTTTGGTCACAGAAACTGACTCTATCTTTTTGTAAAAGACATTATTCAGGTTAGACTTTTTATCTTGCATTAGGCCAGTCTTCACACCAATGTGAAATTACTTTGATATAGTGACAATTCTTAAGTTAGCAACACAAGTTTCTTGAAAAATAAAAATCTCAGGAATGGGTACCCCTACGAAACAGTATTAAATGTTCGGGAGTAGATAAGAAAGTGGTGGTGACTGGAGGTGGTGAGGCATTTCAATAGCTCGATATTAAATTCTTTAAAAATGGTATTCATGCTACCCTCTAAGCCTCAGTCAGCCAAATCTCTCTTTAATTAACCTTCTGTCCTTCCAAGCTACCAGAGGAGGTGAAACGTTTAACATGGCATATTGTCTATCTCCCGTCTAGATTGGTGTATGTGTTAAGAGTATGAATTGTTATTTCCCTAGACTCATGATTACATACGACATCAGAAAAAGTCATAGAAAACATGTAGGATCATAAAAACAGGTGGCATGTGGCATAGCAAATGATGTTGCTGCTTGCAATACCAGTATCACAGACAGGTGTTGGCTGCTCCGCTTCCAATTCAACATCCTACTAATAACCTTGAGAAAGAAGCACAACAGTGTATGTCCCCAGTGCTTGAGTCTCTGCTGCTCATGTGGGATACCTGGAAGAAACTCCTGACTCCAGAAGGCTTTGGCTTAACTCAGCTCTGGCCATCGCAGCCATCTGGGGATTGAAGCAGCAGATCAAAGAGCTTCCTCCCTGTCTTTCTCTTTCTCTGTAACTCTCACTTTCAAATAAATAAGTATTTCTTTTAAATTCTACTATTTAACTTTTTGGTGTTGTTAATTTCTTTTTTCTCCCTGATGTTGATTTTGTTTTGTGGCTCTTCATTTAAGGGGATGTAAAGTAGCTGTGTAATGGAGGCTGTCATATCTAGTAACATGTCATTTAACTTAATGGCATTGTAAATCTCTATATTTCTTTTTTCTCCCTGATGTTGATTTTGTATCATGACTTTTCATTTAAGGGGATGTACAGTAGCTGTGAAAGGGAGACTAACATCTGGATGTGAGGATGCAGTGTAGTAGGCATTTCTGCTTCCAAAGATAGACTTACAATGAAACTGTTTACTATATCTTGACAATAGGATCCTGGACTCTCTGCCATTGTCCATGCCCGCAATGATGGACATATGACTGAGTATGAAGAACTATATGTTAGTAATGATATAGAGGAACTAGGTGGTGGGGAGGATATAGGAGAGGAGATAAGGGAATATGGAACTGTATATTAAAATGATGATAATAATAATAATAATAATAAAATGTAAAAAAAAAAAACCCTCAAAGGCAGATAAGATCATCACTGAAGAAGGCATAGTCTCAAAACAGTCACCTTCCTGCCAAATCAACCCGACTGGACACGGGATGCTCACAAAGAAATCACAGCCTTGGAGACGATGAGTGTAACTGAAGGAGAAATATATCTATCCAGAGAAAATTTCATCTCATTTGCCCAGTGTCCCTTCTGTTAAATAGTTTTACAATATTGTCTTGTTTAAAATAAATTCCACTGAAGCTAGCGCAGTTTCAAAAGTAGAACCAGGGACTAAGCCAAGAAAAACATCACAATTTAAACAGGGAAATGTGAAACCTATTTTTAGAATGAAGTGTGAGTATTCAGACATTTTTTTGAATATCAACCACAATAAATCCACTGAATACGACGAGTACAGGAAGTAGTCACCCCATGATAAAGAATCCGCTCCCAATGAGGTGCCTTACATAACTGCCCAGGACTCTTGTTTTCTCGGCATGATACCACAGTTCAGATTTCAAAGCATACAATTTTTTAAAGCCATTTTCATTTGGCATTATTTTACCTGGGTTAACAGATCATTCCCAAGTCAACCGAGGGAGAAGATGAAATACACTGACCTGCATGAAACCGCATGCCGTGAAGTCCTCAAACAAGGGCAGACTTGGGCGGTCTTCTCTATAGATGGTGAGTTTGTATGTGATCAGGGTCTCTCCCTGTGCTGCAGAGTCATCCACCACAAGCATGGAGATTTTATTCATTCCTAAGCCCAGAGGATACTTGGCAAAGCTGGGGGAAGAGAGAGTGGGAGACAGAGAGGTCCATTCCAGTCAAACTGGTTTATATTTATACATCTATATTAAATTATATTTATATTAAATGTCCACCATTGGCATAAAGCGATAGTTCCACATGATTGCATAAGAAACTTAAACTGTGAGACCATGTAACTTCTGTTCCATTCAACTGTGTTATGCCAAGATGAATCTTGCAGGACAAGTCCTATTCTTAAAAGAATTATAACTGCTAATTAGACATCTTTCATATCATACATTATCTCAATACTTAAAAAAACTCTATAAACCAAGTGTCCAAAGTGGTATGGTACAGTCACTTTGACACAGCTTAACTCCCTGCGATAACAAATGCGTTTCTTTCCCTACATTATGAGGAGTATTTTCTGAGCTGTCTACAGTGTGTATTAAGGATGTATCTTCTGTTCAGAATCACCAACAAGAGTTGATAATGTTCCAAAGAATCTTAAAAATGTGTCAGTGAAACTATGAAATTTAGTGACACAGAGTCCGTAAAATGTCACTGACATTCTTCAGCAAGAAATGTCTGGGTGTTCAAAGACATAGCGCGTCAGGTGAGGACGGAGGACAGCTGCTCTTCAGAGAGATTAACGCCAGCAATCCAAAAATGGCAGTAAACGAAAAATCTCTTCACAATGATACACAAACAATGCTCTACCATTACGGAGTAATTACACAGATTATTAATATAATAGTGTAACATTAACGTGTTCTTTCAACCGCGTAAGATCTAGAGGGAGACATTTCACACGCCTGCAATCTCTCCAAATCATCTTGTGGCTAAACCTTTCTCAATCAATTCCCAAGTTTGCAAAAAAAAGTCTGCTTCCATTGTGACAACTCAACTTCCCACTACTCAGCATCCACGTACCTCGGCCCTGTCCGCTCATGCAGGTGCACCTTGCACTGACAATTAGAAGTCTCTGCTCCAATCGTCACAGTTACCACATCAAATGGAACTTCTGAGTAATAATCTTTGATCTTGGGGTTAAATTCAGGATTTAGTTCCAAATGTGGGTGCGTGAAGATCTGTTGGATGTGACATAGTGTTTCTTTATCTGTTAAAATAACAAAGAAAAGACAGCTGTAAATTAGGTTACTGTTTTAACAGCATACATGATGGAGGCGATTTCTTTTCCAGTTCCTTGAACAGCTTCAGTGACGGCTGATGACTGCTTATCCAACATTCTGGTCAAGCTGATGTGAAACTTGAGCAGACTGCCAATTTGTGAAATGTTGCAAAATTCATCCCTCATAACTGAAGATGCCAGTTAGTTTTAGGAACACTGCAGTTTTTTTCTCAGACCAAAAAAGCTGATTAAAGGCATGCAAGATAGGAAAAACATCTTCCCTGGGGCTTGAGAGCATTTGCATCATATTTATGACAGATATCAGGTACCATTGGACAATGGATCTGTGGGGTGGTAACAAAAGGGAACCAGCAGTGAGTGAGGAAGTGTCCTTACTATGCTGGTATTCAGCATCATCAGCTGCCATTAAATTAATATACTAGCGGATAGACAGTGGGATAGAGCAAGATGTGAACACAGATATTACACCAAACATTCAAGCACAAAAACACCAGCAAGAGCTGAGATCTCAGCTCATCTCAATTTGGAAAAAACACCATGAAGTGGGTGACGTAGCAAGCTAACCTTCACCCACAGTGCCAGCATCCCATATGGGCAGTGGTTCAAGTCCCAGCTGCTTGACATATAATCCAGCTTCTTGCTTATAGCCTGGGAAGGGATAATCAAAGGCCTTGGGCCCCTGCACCCACAAGGAAGACCCAAGAGAAGTTCTTGGCTCGTAGCTTTGTACCAGACCAACTCTGGCCATTACTACCATCTGGGGAGTGAACCAGCAAATAGAAGATCAATCTCTCTCTCTCTCTCTCTCTCTCTCTCTCTCTCTCTCCCTGTTTACCTTTCCTTCTATGCTTCTTTTAACTCTGACATTTAAGCAAATTCAGCAGTTGGGATGCCATCTGGGACACCCACACCCCATAGTGGAGTGTCTAAGTCTCAGACGTCACTTCACTTTTAATCACAGCTTCTGGCTACTGTGCACTCTGAGAGGCAGCTGGTGATGATGTAAAGACCTATGTCCCTGCCATCAACACAGGGACCCCTTGTTCAGTTCCTGGCTCCCGGCTCCTGGCTCCTGGCTCCAGTCTGACCCAGGGATTGGGCAAGTGAATCAGCAGATGAATGATTTCTGTCTCTCTGTGTTTCAAATAAATGAAAATCAAATAAATCTAAAAGCTAAAACTCAATTCTACATGAGATGAAACATACATTTGCAATCATCTTGTTAAGCAAGACTTTAGCATGCACTTTCTTGTTTCGTGGGAAACTCTCCATCTCTGACAGGGCACCACCGCCCCTACCCCTTTGCCTGAAAGCTGAGTTCTGACAGCGCCTTCCGCTGAGTAATCACTGTTGCATCTACTGACACCTGGTAACTCTTTGGCATTTATCCCACCCTAGTTCCAACTTGTTCAGGCCAGCTCACTTAGGTCTATGGAGAACACAGCATCAGCTATGTTGTCTGCAGGAAGCTTCACCTATTTGGCAAGTGTGTTTGGGGAAGCTGTTTGAACTTCTGGTTTCTTTTAGTGGATTTATTTTAACTGCAGAATTTTATTGCCCTCTTGAGGGATGATCATAACTCACATTAAACACAAGAACAACCTAGGTTTAAAGATAATCCCAACTGCTCGGAGGCATCGTGGAGTTATTCTTTTAAATCTTTTATCACACAATAAAAGCAGGATGATTAATGGTGAAGATCCAGGTAGGAACAGTTTTAATCAATGTAAAGACTTGGGGAACTTGGAAGGGTTTATGTAACATATTCATGTCTGTGCCACGTTATCTAGGACCTTAAAAATGCAATTCTTTCATTTTGTGAATAACAAAATAGAAACCTGAAATGACTTCCCCTGTGCTGTGTCTAGCCCAAGACTTAAAACAGGGTAGACGCTCAACAAATGATCTTTCTTACACTGCCCCTAGCTTCCCACTAGTCTTTCTCCCTATACATTTCAGGTAGCTGTCTCCCAGGAGAGTGGAATATCCGTGCATTCTAGAGGTGAGCTTGACCATGACTGAGTGCACAGTGGGGAAGGCATGCATGACACCTATGTTATACTTGAAACACCACTTTCTTCACTTGGATGTGTTTGTTGATTCTTTTTAACTTTATTGCTGCATTACTTTTCAGTCTTCCACAGCTAATCAATGTGTCAAAACATTGTGAACTAAATGGCATTTTAGAAGCTATAAATTAGATAATATAAATTAGAGGACTTCTATTTGTGACAAATGAAAACTCCAATCCATGCATTTTTTTCCAGTTTTAAGGTCTTACTAGACTTGGTTTTCTATTTATCAAAGACTAAATTTTACATGCAAGTTTTAGCACCAAATACAAATACAGAGATAGAGATGTTAATAGGTACACACTGTCAAAAATAAGCCTACTATGTAGCATTTTAATTTTTTCATGACATATTACACAATATTAAGCAAGTTACAAAGCTTTATTCTGCTTCAGGAACTTAATAGAACTGTTCTCTCTCAAGTCAGACTCTCTGGAACAATGCATCATCAAGACCACTGTAATATTGCTCAAAGTGAATAAAATATTTTAAAATGTAAAGTTAATGTCAATTTAACCTGCATGTATTTTCTTGATTGTGCTTTGATATAACATTTCATGAATTTTAAGAGAATAAATTGAAAATTGGCTTTAAGATGCTCAGCTGTTACAAGGAAAATTGAACTCCATTATTATGTATTATAATAAATCAGTCAAAGAAGAAGCCATCACAAGATGATAAGACCCCATGAAGATCAATGCAGAGACAACCAGCCAAAATGCTGAGGCTCTAGTCTTTATAATAAAGCCTTAAAAACTGACTGGATGGGCCCGGCACAATAGCCTACTAACTAAATCCTCGCCTTCTACGTACTAGGATCCGATATGGGTGCTGGGTTGTGTCCTGGCTGCTCCACTTCCCTTCTAGCTCCCTGCTTGTGGCCTTGGAAAACAGTAGAAGATGGTCCAAAGCCTTGGGACCCTGCACCCACGTGGGAGATCTGGAAGAAGCTCCTGGCTCCTGGCTTCAGATCTGCTTAGCTTGGCCATAACTGTGGCCACTCGGGGAGTGAACCAGTGGCCAGCTCTTTATATTCTCTCCTTTTCGCTGTATACCTGACTTTCCGATAAAAATAAACACATCTTTAAAAAAACAAAAATCTGGGCCTCTCAAAATGAGTTTGGAAGTCTGCATACTTCAAAAAACACACTTCATATTCCAAAGCAGAAAATCAAAAACATTTTCCTCATGCAAGAATGACATATTACTCAGAAATTTAATAACTTCTTAAATGTTATTTAAAAGAAAGTAACATCCTGAAAACATTCAAGCATAAAATTTTTTTTCAAAGCCGTACTGTGCCCGAAATATTGATTACGCCACCGAACCTCTTTCTTCTTAACTCACCATGATTGCAACGTGTTTCTGTATCTGCATTCAGAATCTGTGGCACTGTAAGAAGGAAATGCTAATTAAATAAAAAGTATAATGAAAGATGTGAAAAAAAGTACAGGGCAGTTTAGCAAACCACATTTTCTTAATTATCTCTCAATAAAACTGAAAATACATTAAAACAAAGTAAGTCACTCAATTCGAACCTCAGCAGAATGGTCATTTCAAATGCAAAACTTAAGGAATAAATGAGCACCTTAGATCATCACACTTTCTAAGGTGATCTACTGATTTCTTTCACTTCTATGATCGATAACTGTTATTTCCACAATGTTTGAACTTACAGAAATCATATCCAGTTAGTTCTACTCATATTTATTTTAAATTCCTTAGTTAAACCAGACATCTCTCTAAGACTCTCCTGATAAATATGCATGAGCAAGTGAATGAATAGAAACATGCTGAGTGCTGATATTCATTTGAGGAGGAAGCACATGTCCTCTTTCGATTTTCATTCTTGATTGCTAATGAAGCCAAACATTTTTTAATGTTTTGGGGCCAGGCAATGCTTATTTTATGCAAAAGTTTTAAATGTATTTTTTGTGAGACTATATCCTTTTACCTTTTTTATTTTCAATTGCATCCAAAGGCACTTGCGGTTTTCCAACGCTCTCATTCTCTGTAAAATGATTCCTGCAAATACAACGCCAGACAACTCTAGATCAATGAAATGAACAACATCCGTAGAAATTACAGCTCACACACGTTCTTCTGTGTGGGTAAAGATACTTTGATGAAGACTAACGCTTTCTGGGTTTCATGCCTCAAAACTGGGAAACTAGTCCCAAATGAGGGGGGGAACTTATCATCTCTAATCAGTGGAAGCACACTTGAAGAAAACCAGGGCAAAAAGTCACTCTCCAGTCCAAGGCAGGGCAATCTCACACAGCCTGGGTCCGACAAAGGGGCTCTAGAATACACGTTCTCATTGGAAGCTGTCTGGCTACAGTTACACAGTTTTGAAACATTGGATACTCCGAGGCACACACCCAGAAGTACACAAAATGCACTTCAACATGGTCCCTAGTAAACAAACTTAAAAGATAAATATGTTAGCACCAAAAGACTGAAATCCATACATTTAGGAGATCTTTATAAGTTCATGGAAAATATACCATGGAAACAGTGTGGACTGCAATTTTTTCTGCACCAAAATAACTCTACCTTTTTAATTGTATTGATTTGTTTACCAAAGCAGGACATGCCTCACGCATTTCACGTACACAATTATCAGCACACACTGACCCTTGCCACCCTGTATCTCTCTCATCTCCTCCCCTTGGTTTTTCCCCTCCCTTTTAGCTCTGGTGATAACTTGGTGAAATAAGACAGACCCCCCCAAACAAATATCATATGTTTTCTCTAATTTGTGATAGTGAATATAGAAAGTACAATAATCCCATCTTTAAAGTCTATTTCTGACAAATATAAGCGAACAATGCAAAAAAAATGACTCTCATTGCTAAGATCTCTATCTTTAAACTAACTGTAGTGTATGGTAACAGTTAGTTCTATCTCAGTAGGTTCTTCTCATTTCCTTCATTACATAACACACTACATGCTCGCCCAGACTGCCATTCAAATCCTCAGATTCGGGACCAGAAAAATCTAAAGTACGGCAGAAAAATTGCGGATCCTGACAATGGCAGACATTGGGCAGGGAGGCCCCAGGCCTCGCACGATGCTGCCTTCCTGGGCTGTTCGGGGTCTCCATTTCCCATCCAGCAAATGGACACCACAAAACTTGCCTCACTTCTCAGTGATGCTACAAAAATTAAATAACAGGCTCTGTGTGAAATAACATTTTATAATACTTATTGTCCCTGATATTACATTAGGCATCAATAAGGAGAAAATATGAATAAAACATAGTCGATTCCTTCAACATATAATTTAATGCTGTTTTGCTAGTGATAGAAAAGTCAAATTCTCCCCATAGAAGAGACAACCAGGCAAAATATCAGGCACTGCCTATCTCCCTCACTGACAAGTAGAGGCAATCATAGGTTTCACCTGTCTTAGCCTCTCCATGCCCTCCTTACCACCACCTGTTAGAATCTAAGTGGGCTGAGATGGCAAACTATCATCCCAGCCCACTGAGACTCTGCTTTCTAAAAAATAAAACGTTGGGAATCAGTGCCATGGCTCATCAGGCTAATCCTCCAGCTTTAAGGCCAGCATCCCACACGGGCACTAGTTCACTTCCCAGCTGCTCCACTTGCCATCCAGCTGCCAGCTTTGACTTGGAGGATGGCTCCCCACTTATAGCAGAGGATGGCTCAAGTCCTTGGGACCCTCCATCCACGTGGGAAACCTGGAAGAAGCTCCTGGCTTTCAGATCGGCTCAGCTCTGGCCATTGAGGCCATTTGGAGAGAGAACCAGTGGATGAAAGATCTTAATAAAATGAAATAAATATCCTACCTTCTAAAACAAAAAAGAGACAAAGAACACATACATTGATAAATTTATATAGATTTTGCCAGAATAAAGTCACCCCGCCAAAAGAAAAAAAAAAACCCGCTAAGTAAATCTTACTATCTCGGAGCCCACAAAACAAATCTCAATTCTTTCTGTCTCATGCTTTCTCAATTCAAGAGTTTATATCACTGAATGAAAATCATTTGAAACTTTTAATTTTAAGCATTGCTTTATAGTGGAGTCAAGTCTTGTTGGTTTGAAAAACCGTGGGCTATATTTTTGTTGCAGTGTCAGAAGACCAGCAGAACCATTATGGTTTCGGTGTTTTAAAGACATTTATTTTCCAGAGCACGGATTTCTGGACCCATTTCTTTGTGTTGTTTTCTTTAATGCAGGCAAAACGTTTTGAAATCAATCTTCAGACTTGACATTTTTTGGAACTGCACAATTCAAATTTGTGGCTGTCTTACCGTTCCAGTGGGTGTAGCAGTGCCTTTTTATTCATGAGCTGAAGTGGTTCAAATACATTTAAGAGAGACAAGCATTGGTTCAAAAGCGAGCCAGGTCTCCCCAGAGGACTTGCCATAACATAAACTTCATGCACCACAGACTGAATCCCAGGAGCAGTAGATGGGAAGAGCTGACCAGGAACACAAAATATCAGTATCAGTTAAGCAAAAAGCCTATGTATCACTCCATAGGCTTCCTATCGGAGTGAGATAGCCTAAAATCAGATGTTAACTAAAACGTACTCGTCAGCGTCACGGCTTAATATTCTGTGCAGCTGTCAAAATCAGTGCCGCTTTTTATAAGGTACTTTATTGATATCCCATTTCCAAATGAGGTGAGTTTGCTTGTCAATGAAGAGAAATGAATTTCTCCTTCCCAGAATAGACGCCAAAAACAGCTAAGTAACAGAATGAGTCAGACAGGGAAAGAAGGCAGAAAAAAATCCCTTGGGTTACAAGGGAATTACATCCGGGTGAGAATTATTCATCCCATCAGAGGAAAACATACAACCACCTCTGTTTCTATGCTCTTTTCGATATTGGAATACTGGGGTTTGCGCTTTCTTCCAAAAGTAATTCTTTAGCTTTTTTCTCACATTGTTTGCATAGATATTCTTATACTGATAGTACATCACATTATGAATTCCAGCAGAGGAAGCTGACAAACCTTTGCTTGTGTTTCTAATACACATCATCAAACTGCTGTGCGTGCATTACCAATAAATTACCAATATATTTAAACTAATTAAAACAATAATGTACCAGTTGAACTATCTTTGACAAAATAAACTCACTCTTAAGCCTCCAAAATATGAGCTGAATTATAACAAATATCAAACATTCACTACCCGATTTAGTAAATAGATTGGAATACAAGTGATGAAATACATAGTTATATTATATACAGATTTTTCTTAAAGAAAAAAAAGGTTGCACCAACTGCCAGGTTAATAAGAATTACTGCAGACTTTCTGAAAATGTTATTTTTAAAAGATGTCTTAAATCGCAAGTGAAAAAAATTGCAAATTCATTGAAATCCAAATAAGCAGCAGAAGTGGAAATCAAGCCTGCACTGTGTATGCACACACCGATAAACTAAATTATGCCTTGATATTGACCACTAAATTAAGACAACTCAACAAAGTGCACAGAAAATAAGCATCCTTTTCAAGGCTGAAACTAGCACAGATTACTGTAATTATTTATGTTTTTCTTTGAACTTTCCAATCGACTTGCAAATATTTAAGATCTATGTAATTTTCTCAAATATCCTTACTGCACTGGAGCACATTTGCTTTTACACAAACAAAAGGATGTAACAAGCAAAAATTAATTTTGATTATATGTAAGTGTCCCAAAGCGAAAAGTAAAGCTTCTTCAGAAAAATACTGACTTTTCCTTTGGGAGTCGTCACATTCCAGCAGTTACACTAATCTCATATTCTTATACTCCTGTAAGTTTTGTATTGTTTGAAACTCTGAAAGCACGTAAGTCCTGCTCATCTTATTATTCTGATCCCTGAGAAGAAGGAAGTCTCTGTTTCTCAACGAAGTATCTTTCTTTGGTTTAAAGTGAAATGCTGGTAGCTCGGAGCAGATTTACTACATGCCCATAATCAAGAGGAATCAAACGTCACTTTTGTTTTACCAGCTGGAATTGTCCCAGACTCCCAAGTTCCTCTATGAAAGTCATAATTGAGTTAATTTCCTCTAAAGGCAAGCATTGATTTCGCTTATTTTGAGAGTTTTCACCCTGTATTCAGGAAGGAAAAAAAAAAAATTTAAGCAAGTGCCAAAACGTCAAACAATGTTAACCTAATTCCCCCCGATCTCATAAACCAAATTTTAAAGGGAATAAATCTACAGCTGGACTAATCGTGCTAAACAATGTCTAGCGACCTTGAGCTGCCACACTGCAGTTGGAGCCTAAGAACTTTTCCTGTTTCACCAGGGGGAGCTGGAAGAAACAGATCGAGCATACTCTGGTCGGGAAGCGGATGAGCTCAGCCCAGAAGAGCAGGCTGTCCGGCGAGAGCCCCAGGAGGGGATGCAGGCAGCCCGCAGCCCTTAGGACACTGGAAACGAGCGCACCAGATGGATGCTTTACAGGTTGCGCAGTTTCATGGAGGCTGGTACACAGCTGTCCCTCCTTATTTCCAGGACTGGGAAGCAAGGTATATGGCTGATCGTTATTTCTGGGTTGAGCACTTTTCAGAAAAGGAAACAAGGAAATAGAAATAGGAACCAATAAAATCAGAGGAAAATGAGCATTTAGTGGGGCATGTCACCCCTCTCAGACATCAGCCCAGAGCACCTGGGATGGTGAGATCTTCCATTCTGCTCTCCCAAATTGTCAGAACAGAGAAATAGGCAGGGGATAACACTTCATGACAATCTGCACATATTTTTGATATATCAAGAAAACACATTTTCCTCATGTACCCAGTTTACATAAAACATTAATAACAGACTTCAGGTGAAAAAATAATTTTAACTGAATTATCAAACTTAGTTGCACGAAACGACACCTTTCTACAGGATGACTCGGAAAAATACTTATCAACACACCAATTTGTACTTACCTTAAATACACCTGATCTGTAAAGCTTTTGAAATATCTCAGGAAACACAGAAAGTGAAGATTCGTTGGAGAAGAGAAAATCGAAAGTGTCTCTTAAAAGAGTTTCTTCCATATTTTGGTCCTCAAAGTCCACACTAGCATGGTCTTGAACATGTAAATAGTCGTGTACCTTTGGAAGAATGAAAGCACAGCAAACAGTTCTCCTGATACACTCAGAGTGCAGTGGCCTTGCTAAGACATGATTGACCTGCTGTGGGACTGTAGATCAGATCTGACATCTAGTGGTCTTGTAGAAGTAAACAGCTTTATGAATGTCAGTAAAGTGCTTCTCTTTCATGTATTACAATGGCCACAATGGTTGAAACTATAGTTGAAGAAGTTGGCAATTCAAGAATGTAACTATTTTTCTGGAGTATAAATTTTAAAAATATGTACTATGAACCATTGGATATGTATTCAAAATAATGAACAAATGCATATCAAAAGGTGCCAGTGCATAACATCTCAAAATTGTATGGACATATCCTATAACTGGTTTGTCCAATTCTGAACCTTGTATTACATAGTTTGACTCTATGTATAATAGTTGTGAAAAAAGTAAACATTACATAAAATTGAATTCCAATTATGTATAATTTCATTTTGGTCTCTTTTTTTTCTCCTTTCCATCTCCCAAGACAAAACTTTTTAAAGACCAGTCATTGTTCTTTTATCTTCTTGTCATGAATGGCTATTTCACAAGAAAAATTATTTGGAGAGATGGTATGAAAAGTCTGTTTCATTCAGCAGGAAGGAAAACAGCCAGTGCACAAAAAAAAAAAATTCCTTAAATGTTTATACTTGAATTTTTTTAATTTTCAGGAAGATACAGATCAATTTTATACTCAATGCTTACAAAGAGCTAAAAGGTTACCTTGTTCTAATACTATTTTAGTATACCAGTAGTTATCTAACTTTTATTATTGCGTATCTAATTTTCTCCATGAATACAATGTTGGTTTCATATTACATTTATTTAATAAGCAGTGTTGAATCACACACAAAGATTTATTTGTATTTTCTAGGAACATATAATGTAATTGGAACACAGAGTTCCACATATATTATTTAATTCTCTGAATCATAGTAAATATATCTAGTATAAAAAGTTCATGGAAAATTCCTATCATGAGAAAAGTATGAAGTATTTGCATTAAAATATTATTTTAAACTCCTTTTTCACAAACTTTTTGAAAGACTGTTATAGATGCTTGAATTAACTTTGATGCAAGCTATTTTTAGACTGGTCATTATGAATGAAAACAACACACACACACAGGCTTTTGCCATCTCACCTGGAGCACAACAGGGTGCCTGAATCTGCTATAGCCAATATCAAAAGTTACAAGTTGAAAGCATGATCTGCATCTGGAATGAAAGCGTAAGAGAATAGCCAAATACAATATACATGTATGTACATACACATATGCGATATATGAACACACACATATATGTAATATATTGTCCTTGCTACATCACTCTATTATTTGGCATCGGATTATAGCTTGTTACAGTTAAATTTCAACACCTGTACTAGCTAAACAAAAAACAAAAAGCAGTGGTTTGATCATCTAAAATTACGTACAATTAATTCTTGGATTTGGAAGAAGTGTTGTTCTTTAACACATTAAACAATGAAGTTATTCTATGAAAACTCTATATATGGGTGGCAGCATTGTGGTCCTGACCGCAATGCCTGCACCTGATACAGACATCAGGTCTCCTCCAGGCTGTTCTCGTCCAATCCAGCTCCCTGCTGGTGAGGTATGGCATATAATGGTACCTGTGATGTCGGTATATGATAGGGACACAAGTTCAACTCCCAGCTACTCTGCTTCTGCTCCAGCTGCCTGGGCAACCAGCAGAAGATGGCCCAAATCCTGCCACGCTTGCCACCCAAGAGGGAAACACGGGAGGAGTTTCTGGTTCCTGCTTCAGCCTGGCCCATCCGTGACAATTGTGGCCATCTGGGAAGTGAACTATGACTGGAAGATTTCTCTCTGTCTCTCCCACTCTTTCAAATACACAATATCTCTCTAAAAGGTTTACTTTAAAAGCATGTATTATTCTAATCGCCGTCATTGAGACTGAAGCAGATCTGTAACATGCTCTCAAGTTTTAGGCTTCTACAACTGAGACAACAGGTGTTAAGAAGATCATATTTGAATATTGACATAAAATTTTCCATGTTCCACCTATTTATAATAAGGAAAACATGCTTTCAGTAACCATTTCTAGCACATAGTTTTGTTGCTGTTTGTTCACTTTTTGCTTTTCTAACTGAAAATGTGCTTACCTGTTGGTCTTTGGTCCCACAGTGGAAGTGTCACTGAATACATCAGCCACCAGGAGCAGTTTGCTAATTGCTTCCTTCATGTTGTCCAAAGCCTGAAGAGGGGAGCTGGCCCTCAGGAATGTCTCAAAAAATGTTTGCAGCTGTGAAGAAATTAACAGACACAGATGTTGAAACAACTGGTTCTGTCTCCCTTTTTCTCACCTCTGAGATAACACGTTTGAAGGACTCCTCTGGTTTCTCTCACCTAAGCACAACAAGTAAATACATAAGAATAATTGCTAGTCTAAGGCTTAAATACCTTGTAACTTAAGTTATTTCAGAGGTGCTTTCTCTCTTATTTTCATGACAAGGCATCCAGTGCTGGACAGTGCAATGAAAGTTAGGTAGTAAGGCTGCACTCAAAGCTCGTGCTTCAATTTGTGACCGCATCAACTGAGTGAACTTGTCTCTCACCTCTGAATTACAATGACGTTAATACCAACCAGAGGGTCGTGAAGCCAGGTTAGAAGGTAATGTGTTTGAACAACCACTGGAAGGGATGAAATCCAAACCTTGTTTTATTTACTACTGCCACCTTGCTGCAAATATTAAGTGCCTTTTCACCCAATTTATTGGCCTTAGGATCTGAGCTACTGAAGACACATTTGGAAATGAGTGTTCTGCTGATGTTTGAGCACATGATGTAGAAGGAAAAGCTGGGGAACTGTAACAAAGGGAGGAGTAAACTCAGGCTCATTTAAGCTTCTTAGGGACATTATGGTGAGTGCCATAAATAATCTCTTCACTTGCTTATATATTTAAACAAGCACACACCCCAAGTTCAAGTCAACATTTCAGAAAAGTAGAACACAGACCTCACATTGACTCATGGACTTTCTTCTTTCAAAGATAAAGAACAAAAAATATTTGCTGAAGCAACAAGCGGCAGGTATTGTGTTCACGATCTGGGCGAACAGACTAAGTCCGCCTTCACTGTGTAAGATTTCAAAGTGCAAAAAGTTGTTGCTGTGATCAGCAAGGACCAGTGTTGGCACAGATGACCTCGGGAAAGTAATCCACGCGTCCGTAAATGCTCAAGTCCAAATCCCCCAAGATAAATAAATACTGAATTCATAAACTTTACCAGCTGGAAAACAGAAACCTAACGAGAGGCCATAGGAAGACCCCAGGAACACACTAAGAGCATTTGGCAGAGTGAATGTTTTTCCACTTAATTAAGAAAATGAATGGAATAATTATGTAATTAAAAAAAACAAATTAATGCCAACACTAAAAATATTAACATACCCCTGAGTCAAATAGAAAAACATACTCTTCCTAAATAAAATACATATCATAGTTCACTTAGTCCACCATATTATGTAGAAAAGGGGAGTAACGAAATGACAGGACTTCCCTGGTTTAATGTTATCTGGATTGAGGTTGAGGTTAACATATAGGAAGGCGGGAAATGCTTGTGCAACAGATACGGTAGGTGGATTGACAATAATGTCTTCTCTGTGGGGAACAAGTACTGATGGAATAAATTGGGGTTGCACTTATTCTTCTAATGTAGATATGAGCATTAACTATTCAATGCCTTTCCAATTAAAATATAAGTAAATTTTTAAAAAATTATTTTGAGCTGGCAGTCATATAAATAATACTAAATGTTAGTAAAATGCAAATTAAAACCAGTGAGACATGACTTCATTCACACTCATTAGGATGGCTGTCATAAAATTGAAAGACAAAAACCAGAAGACAACAAATATTGGCAGGAATGCTAGGAGATTAGAATGCTCTATTGGTTGGAAAGCAACATGGTGTAGCTCCTTAGAAAACGGTTTGATGGGTCCTCAAAAAATTAAAAATAGAACCACCACATGATCCAGCAATTTCACTTCTGGATAAGCATCCAAGAGAACTGAAAGCAGGGTCCTAAAGTGATATTTGCACACACATGTTCATAATAGCCAAAAGATGGAAGCAACCCAAGTGCACAGAGGACGAAGCGATAAACGAAAACATGTGATGAATGCTTCAAAAGGAAGAACATTCCGACACACGTTACAACATTGATGAGTGTAGAAGGTATTATGCTAAATAGGGTAATCTAATTACAAAGTATGCTGGGTGATTCCATTTTTATGTCATATCTGGAGTAATCAAACATACAGCAGAGAAGTGATTATCAGGGACTACAGGGAAAAAGGGATTACTGCTCAAGACTGTATCATGTCAGCTGCACCAAAAGTTTTGGAGATTCAATCTGTATCATGAATATATTTATCTCTGTCCACTTAAACTGGTTATGACAGTACATTTTATGTTATGTTTAGATTTGAATTTTTAAAAATAATTCTTAAGTATAAATTTTATTTATTAAAATAGAGAGAGAGAATATCTTCCATGCAACAATTCACTCCCCAAACAGTCAAGACTGGGCCAAGGTGAAACCAGGGCTTGGGAAGTCGTTCTGTGTCTCCCTTCCAAGCACTTGAGCTGTGTACCTGCTGCCTCCTAGATGAGCTGAGCAGGAAGCTGGAGTAGGGCACAGAGCCAAGACTGGACTCTAGATCTAAAACTTTGATGGAAAATGTGAGTGTCCCAAGCAGTTGTGTCAAACAACTGTCTAATTAAAATGTTTTAACAAGTCTTTTTCACAGCTACACTGCCTCTAACAATAGTGGTTAACCCTCAGTTACTTTTTACACCACCAAAGTCCAAAGGATCATTTCTTTAAATTTGCAAAACAAAGCAAAAGATGATCTTTCCCATGCTGTGCATCTCGTTTCCTGCACACAGCCGTGAACTTGTATATTCCCATGCCACCTCTTCTGAGGCTCTGTGTTGCCCACGGTTACACTCTGATAGCCTTGAACTTTTTACCTTTTGGTTTAGAACGTAAAACAACACAGAATCAGCTTGAATGCAGGTAAAACGGCAAGAGGGCAAGTCAAGGATGAGCATGCGAGCTGGCCATTTCGTGCTACCGTGAACACTTTAAAAGAAACATAGGAATACTTTCAAGTTCACAGAAAACAGAACTACGGGAAAAAAACAATTTTGTGCAAAAAATTAAAATTCATTCATAGGTTTTGAAAAATACTTTTTTTCCCCCCAAGTACTTTAACCCTTATATAACACAAGAGCTCAAATTCAATTTTATTTGGGGATAGAACCAACGGCATTTGATTAAATATATAAAATCCAAGCTTGTGTTCTCTTTGGCCAAATTACAAAGAGGATTAGGACTAGCCACATCCATCCATATTGAACACAGCTGAACTGAAAGCTGCTATTTTGGGCTGCATCATTACTCCGCCCTCTTCCAACCCTAACCTTCTGTCTGACTTGAACCTAACTCATATATCTCCTAGCGTCTTGAAGAACTCTTAAAATGTGTGTGAAGTCATCCAAGTGCCTCGGATTTTATTCCAATATAATACGTTTTTAAATGAAAGTCTTTTTGATTGCCCTATAATTTTCACTAAAAAAATACATTTATAAAATTTTTAAAGGTTTCGACAACTAAAGGTTTTACAACTAAACTTGCAAAACCAAGTTTTAGCAAGAAAATGTTCTTCTGAGGAGTGACAATACACCTTTCATCATCACAATCCATCAAAAATACTAGAAATGCGTATTTTATTAACTAATTCCTAAAGCGGAAAAGTAAAATTGCATTGAAATGCACCTTGCAATGGAATTGGACTTTTTACCCAGCTCGTTCATGTATCCACTGACAGAATATTACTTGTTGCTAAACTGAGAAAGACTCACAACAGCATTAATATTATCTTTCTATAAGCACAGATGAAATTTGTACACATTAACACATAGATGCTATGGGAGAGTTTATTTATAGCAACACTGAATCATTCTTTGAACTCCTTCCAAGATACATGAAAAAAAATCACAATAATTTATCATGAAATGTTCAAAATTTGTTGAAAACAAACTGAAAATGGTCTCAGTTGTGAAAGATGTGTTACCTTCAATTTCCCTACTGGATATCATGGCATATTTAGATGTATCTCTCGCCTTTTTAGGGGCAGGAGACAGAGCTCTTTTAACCCTAGAGCAATTCTCATCAAGGTAAATGAACGCTGGGACTTTTCTTCGGAGGGCAGAGGGCGTGTGTGCAAGGAGTGGCAAAGAACTTGCTCTGAGGGATCTTTAGCAGATAACACCAAAGGTCCCCATGGACACTGAGTCTTGAGACACCAGTCAAGTGCCTGTGGACCCTTGTAGGGACTTCCGGGGTGCTGCAGGTGCACATGACTCCCAGCAGGGGATCCCAGCCCTCTCTGTGGCCAGACCAGAGCAGCACATCAGTTACATGTCAAGGGGCTGTAGCGAGAGCTACAGTGCAGGTAGGCTCATGCTTTAAAGGAATCTGTTTCAGGGTGCAAAATCAGATATTTTAAAATAGAGGAAAAGGGATATGAGGGAGTAAAAATGACTAAATTACAAACCTAAGTAGCGATGGAATTTTTCACTTTGGTACATGATACGATAGTTGGGTATAATTCTGTGTTGCATTTAATAATAACCACCACCCTTAGCTAAGACAACACCACGTAACAGACACTACCATGCACCCTTTTGTTTGTGTTTATTGGCGTGCTATTAGGTAATTACTTATTCTCCCTACTCCAGGGAGTCGAGAGGGTAAGTTCATGCCTACGGTGATAGAACTGGGAGGTCGGCAGCGTGAGGTGGAAGGCATTCCTGCGGCCCCAGGCCTTTGAGGGTACAAGATTCAGGAACGTGGATGGATCCCGAAACAGAGACAAATGAATCATGTGCTTTTGCTTTCTGGAAAAATGAGCTTGAAACTGTCAGCCTTTATAACCACACCATCTAGAATATCAGTTCAACAGCGTGAGTACTAATGTATCCTAATTGCCTTTCGGAAAAGCCAGAAATTTTTTGGTAACAATTCAAATTGCCTGGATCAAGAAAAAATTGTCCTAAATCAAATGATCTAAGAATATAAATATTCTCATCATTAACTTTAGCTCATTGAAAACTGCCTTGCTTAAATAGTGGCCAAGGAAAAACAGAATTGGTTTAACCTAAATGTGTATACATCTCACCCATTTCCTGGAATTAGATGAAAAATTTTAATTTTCAAATACTTTATGTTTCCATA